AATTATTATTATTATTATTTAATTTGATAAATCGTACGTATTTGCCCGCAATATTTTTTATTATTAATATTATAATAAATAATATTATTATTATTATTCGTTATAATTATTACCTTATATTAAAAATTTTTTTTGACCGGGTAAAATTTCAAATTTTTAAATTTAACGGTCATCGAACGAATAAAATAAATTTAACGGTTTTCATTATTTATTCACGAACGCATTTTTTTTTATTTATTAAATACATAAAACGGTTGTAATTATTAAATAATTAATTAATTATTAATTAAAATAAATATTTTTGTACGTTTTTGACATGTTGTTATTATTATTATTAAATAATAAATAACTTCGAAAGGGTTTTAAAGTTTTATTTTTTAATAAATTTTATACCTTTTGATTAGGTAATAATAATATTTATTTTAAGGTTAATAATTTAATTTCATTTCCTTTTTTATTTATTTATTTATTTATTTGAGGGGGTGAGGATAGGATGCGACCGCGACCACCATCACCCCTTCTTCCGTCGTCGTCACCGCCATATTTATTTTATTTGCATTTTCTTGCTCTCCTTTGAAATCTTTTCATTCTTCTATGCCATTCATCTTTCCATTCTATAACTATTGATTTTCTACTCACTGTCAAACCTTGATGATCACCATCTAATTCTTTTCCAAGAACTAAATACGACCTTTAAAACATAAAAAAAAAGGCGGGAAATGAAATTGATTGATTTCTTCATTCATCACACATTCAAATTAATTAATTAATATATATATATTTTTTTTTAAAAAGTTTAGTCAAAATGAATTTTAAAAAAATATCAGGTTGGGGGGAGGAGGAAGAGGAGGTGAAGGAGGAGGAGTTGTTTGGTAAACTTTCACTTCGATTAAATGACGTTTTAACATTTTTTTTTGTTACTCGAGTAAAATTCTTTCGATTTTCATTCATTCCAAATGTATTGGGTTGGCTGGTTAAAAATCTATTATATTATGTTCATTATTATCAATAACCTTTCGCCATTTTTTGGATAGTATCATTATTCCTTGTTTCATAAAACCCTTTTATTTTTGGAAGAGCAAAAAACTGTCCCAATGCACTTTTGACCTCATTGTCCTTTTTGGAATTTTTGTCCGTTCAAAAAATTTTTTAGTGATCGGAAATAATGATACTCGCTTTGAGCTAGGTCGGGACTATAAGGAGGGTGCAGCAAAACATTCCAGCCTAGCTCCAGTAGTTTTTGTCCAGTGGCTAAAGATGGGGAGGGCCTGGCATTATCGTGTTGAAAGACAATTCTTCCTTTTCTATTGGCTAGTTCCGGTCGTTTTTCTTGGATGGTATCATTTAAATTTCTCAATTGTCAAATATTAACCTCTGAATTTATGGTCTGATTTCGTGGCAGCAGCAGCTCAAAGTAGACTATGCCTTTGAAATCCCACCAAACTGATAGGAGTACCTTTTTTTGGTTAATGTCAGCCTTAGAAGTTGTTGGTGCCTGTTTCCTTTGCCTAGACCAGGATCTTTTCCTCAAAATGTTGTCATAGACAACCCACTTTTCATCTTCGGTGACCATTCTTTCAAAAAAGGGTCATTCGCATTGCGTTTAAGCATATCACAAAGACCAAGTCGCCACGTTAACTCACGCTCCCCAAAGTTATGCATCAAGCTTCTTTTGGTACCCAAGACACCGCAGACGGTTTTGACACTACCGTTCTATTAAGGCTTCATCACCCACAACTATTTATGAGCTTGTGAAGCATCAACACCCTTTCAAAAATAAAAAAGGAAAATGTGGAGGAAATGCTCGCTTTGGCTCCCCAGCATGTTTAAGTGTCTTTTGCTCGCACCCAAATTAAGAGTTCAGTATTGATACTAAATGTTACAGAAGGAACCAAGTAATAAGACATCAAAAGTTGTTGTCTGTATAAAAATGTAAACGTACCCAAAGACATGTTCAAACTATCTGTTGGTAAAATCCGTAATTACTTACTTGCCACCCCAATACGATATCAAAATTAATTTCTTTATGTTATTTAAACACGCGCACACACACACACACACAAATCTCTCATAATTTAAATAAATAAATAAATTTGTATCTTACTTGTTAGTTTTGATTTTTGGGCATTTACACGTTAAATCGTTTATGTGAGCCCACAATAGTGTATTTCCTCTTTTCAAATTTGAATCTCTTGCTTTTTTGTAAACCGATTGTACGTTTACCGTAAATTTCACCCATTCTCCAACTGTTTCTCTTTCTTGTATTCTTCCCAGAATGGCTAAATAAATAAATAAAAATTTTTTATTAATAAATAACAAAAATAAATAAAAGAAATCACGTGGGATAATTACCGTAATCCTTTTTGCAATATTTTTTGAGATTCAGTCTTCTTGTTCCTGCTCTGCATTTTCCACACTGATCTAAATAATTTACAAAAAAAATTATTATTATTATTATTTGGTATAAAATGATTATAAAAATTTTTTTTTTTGAATTAATATTTCGTGAATGAGGGGGGGGGAGGGGAAATAAAGTAGGTGGGTAAAGTAATTTAAAGTTCGTTATAAAAAAAGGACCACCTAAGCATAGAAAAAAATCAATTTTTTTTTTTTAATAATATAAAAATATAAAAATGACGAAATTTGACACGTAATATTAAACATTTAGTATTAAATTACATTATGTACATAAATATATTTTAAAATGGGGGATCCCGGTATTTACGAAATAATATTTATTTAAAACTAGACTCCATAAAAAATTTTTTTTTTTTTTTTTTAGTTCAAACTCTTGTTTTTAACCGTAAAAAAAAATGTCGAAAACATTTATTAATTATTTATTTATACATATAAACTTTTTAAAAATAATAATAATAATTAATGTTAATTGTAAATCGTTAATTAAGTAACAAATTATTAACTCTTAATTATCTCTTTTTTTTATATAAAAAAAATTTATTTTATCCTAAACGACATTTTTTTTTTAAAACGTCCATTATAAATTATTCTAAAGAAAGAAAGAAAAGAATAAAAAAAACGCCATTAAAAAAAAATTAATCGGTGAAAATGGTGGTTTTTTTTTTAAAAAAAAAAAAAAATGACAAAGGTAATTCCTTTGTTAGACGGAGAGTGGTGGGGTGAGGGGGGGTGGGGAGTGGAGGGGGGACTAAACTTGATTTATACGTGTTTAGAAATAAAATAAATTTTTTAATTGAATTCTCTTTTTTTTCCCTTTCTTTTTCTTTTTCTTTTTTTTTTTCTCGTAATTACGTAACTTGAAATACAATTTATTTTATTATTATTATTATTTATTATTGGATGTTTTTTAAATTGTAATAATAATAATAATAATAATTATGATAATGGGAAAAAAAAGAGTACGATTGGTCCAAACAAAATTTTCCATTTTACGTTTCGGTTCGGTTGTTGCGCATGTACATTTTTATTATTATAAATATTATTATTATTATTATCATTATTATTATTTAAGTAATTAATAAAAAAAAATTTGCGCGCGAATAATAATTAAATTAAAAT